TATGGTACTATGGGTGTACCTAGAAATGGCGAATCAAAAATGATCGAGCACTCGGCACTTGAGTCACGCAACACCATCCGGAAGACAGTATGGCGGCCCATATGTAATCAGCCCGGGAAAAAAGAACATAAAGCCAATTGAATTATTGAAAAATTAACGAGCTCGAAATAAGCGGCAGGAAGGCAGGAGCTTGAAGTGCATTTCTGGACGCGTAAGTGTGTGAAATATTGCCTGAATAATGCAGTACACTCACGAGTTGGATTCACTGCTGCCGGCTGTCGATTGCTGCACTTGACACAACTCGACCTCCGATTGCCTCTCTACCTCATGCCTGGTTGAAGTTTAATTGCCGTCATCTGTTTGTTAATTGCTACATAATTGTTTGAAATAAATTCACTTACGACTCGTTTCGCTCCGTTCTTCGCTCACTTGGCTCTGTTCGCCCATCTTTCGTTGGCAAGATGTCGCCAGTCGTCGAAGCGCTGACGGGGCGTATGAGTAATGCTCTGCACAGTGTCAGGCACTTTTGATGGTCATGCAGTTTGCATGTAGTTTAATTTCCCACTGTCACATCGCCGGGTTGAGTGAGTGTTGTTTGGCAAGTGAACGAGTTGAGTGAGTGACAGTACCATGTTTAATTCAGGATTGGGTGGACTTTGTTGTACCCAAAAAATGGAAAAGAGAGAATAGCCTTACTGCTTTTTGATTGGGTGGGCTCAGGCATATTCAAAGTCTAGACATTTCAGAATGCTTAAAAAAATCGACTTCTTTATTGTTATTTATATTAAAGTATTCTTGTATTCTTGGTCTTTCGAAGAATTGTTTTTATTTGGCCTTTATAGTGAGATCTCCTCATTTTAACTGAGCAAGCCACAATTATATTAGCGTAGTCCCACCTGCTCGTAATCCTTTCTACTGCATTTGTCACAATCATTAATTAAAACGTTAAGCACCATTTAAGCATAGCTGCTGTCAGGTGACTGAAGCTATGGCCAACACCTAAAGAACCCCGTCAGCCACTCCAGTGGAGCTGAGCCCCAAAGTCCCGGATCCGACGTGCTGGCAACATAAGTCATGAGAAGAGGAGCACTACAGTGCAGCGGGAGGATGTTTTATGTTTTCGCTCACTTTCCGACATATTTTCGCACATATTTTGTTTTTATTTGCAGCACGCTTCGGGTGTTGAACTGACTTGAGCTGTTGCAGCTGCCAACGACACTCCTCCAGCTGGACTGTCCTGATTTTCAGTCTTGTGCCTTCGTGTCGTTATGAATAATGAGTTTTCTTGCTGCACTGTAATCTTCGCACTCGCCTGCTCAGTACATTCTCTCGATTTAATTAAAGTTCTTAATGAGTTTTCTGTAACGCTTCATCGATCAGGTCGAACCTGGAATTGAACCATTGTCTTGTCGTGAAACAAGAAACTTGTTACACAGTCTAGAGATTTTGGTCGGGACACACAATAAGTATCCTCGTAACATGTGTACTTCGAGTTCATTTGTCTGCCAAGTTGGCGAAATGCACTTTTGCCGCATCTGCAATTCGTTCTGCGGTCTCCTCCGTTTTCCCTGAATATATGAGTATATATATCTTTGGGTAGATATTTGCTTTGCATTCTTAGACACTTTTTCTTACTACCCCCTCTATTCCCTGTGCACAAATTCATGACATTCTACGGCTTGGGTTTGTTCTCTCGGATTTTGTGGGAATCTGGTTGGCATTTACTCTATGACAAAAACTAAACAATTTGCACAAAGCATTTCGTATGCTTCCAGCTAGAGTATGCATTCCTGATTATCAGTTGCTAACCTGTTGGGTTAGATAAACAGAACGAAAGGTTACTTTATAGACGAGATACTTGGCACAAACCATAGAGCTTAGTATGTTAAACAATATTAAACATTATATATTTTGCAGTTACCCAATACTGAAGAGATATTTACCTTACCTTGCCTGATTTAATAACACTACATAGGCAAAAGCGTTGCCCAAAGCTGGCCTCCATTCCAGTAATTTAATCGCCCCCCAATTTAAACCTTCGGTAATCAAAATTCAATACAATCATCTTGTTTTGGCACTTAAGCTTTAATGTAAATAGACCTTAGAGCCATCGGGCACCTTATTAAGCACACGTACAACCACAGTCACAGCTGGGTGTTGGGCAATAAAGGAGGCCCATAGAGTTAGTTGCCAGTTAATTGCATAATGACCGAGAGCCGGCGTTTAATCAGCTCGTTTGTCAACAAAGTGCAAGTATAATCAGTTTGTGGACCATTCGCTCAGTGAAGATTTCTCCGCCTTGTCAAACGCTAAACTAATTACGTATATGCAATGTGATTATTAGCTCCAAGCTGATTAGACCTCTTTGGTGGTAAGGGAACGGTTGAACGGTTGAGTGGGTGCCTGTAAGGGGCAGCCAAGTGTCCTGGACGATGCCCACTTAACGAAGGCCATATAAGCCGCAATAATGACCCGCACAAGAAGCATCTGTGATACGGGAAAAAAGCAATGTGCTCGTTGTCCAAATATTTGTTGACATATTGCGGATTTAAAATGATTTGTGGCTGCCAATCCCCGGGAATTAAACAAATACATTTGAATAATGGCAGGCAATCAGCAAACAAAACGCAAGACTGATTGCCGGCAATAAAAGTGGACCATAAAAAGCGATAACATCATATTTATAAGCGCCGTCAAGACCCACGTCCCAGCCATCGCTGCCATCGCTGCCATCTCCCAAGGCGCTGGCAAGCGTTGAAAGCGATTATATGCGTAAATATAAAAATGGCAAAAAGACAAATAAACGACAATAAACGGCCAGCAAAAGTATTCCTTGAGCTCCTTGCCTCCGTCTCCCAAAGGCATCCCAAGCCAAATAAACGGAAAAAATGGCCAACAAAAAAGATGGGCCCATAAAAAGGGAAGCGGAAGGAAAGCTTTGTGGAGACCTAAGCAGCTTACAGTGGGGAAAAAAATCGCAAATCTTCGCTTAAACTATTTTTATTATGTACTTTTCAGTGTAACTAATAAAATCTGAATTTTAAATAATCAGTTTTTTACAAATATATTCTTGAAATTTTTAAGCTATTACTAATATATGTGTTATTGATAAATTTTACTCTGTATTTGGCCAACCCATCCACTGTATCTGCAGTTTATTTGCGGGCATTTTCCGAAAATCGAGTAGGCGGCACGTCTGGGCAAAAGTTTTCTTTTGTGTGTGTCCTTTGTTTATGACGACCATTTGGTTTGCGGAGACCGTCGAGATTAGGCTGGAGAATGGGAAGGTGAAAGCTGCTTTTGGCCTGGCTAACTTACCATCACCGCAACCTGTAATCTCTCTACCCATGGTGAACTTTAATTCCGCCAATCTGGAAATCGTCTGCATTCCAGTAAATTGCGTATTGGTTGCTTTGAATTCCATTCACCGGAGTTGGCATTTTAAAGCCATAACCTGTAGTCCGTAAGTCACTTTTAGTAGGTTAAACTGCATTAAAAAAGCAAAATAAATAAATACTATTAATAAAATTAATAATTATTTGGGAGTGTTTGAAAAGTGCAAATATTTATTTAGTTTAAACCATAATGAGTAGATATAGTACAAAAGCTACAGTTCTTGATTATTAAAGCGCTTTTTATTAAGTACTTTCAATTTTCTAATTTTACTGGGCATTGAAACAGTTCATCACAGCCGAGTCTAAGTTCATAGTGTAGGCTCATTGAAAGTAGCTGGCAGTTTTTAGCCTCGACATTTGCCGGTGCGTTTTGTTTACACAAAGTTCAAAAGGCAGTTTAGGTTTTGAAGGGAAACTGCCGCCGTCGAGCCTGACAAATTGAATGGCCGCCCGCGTTTGCACAAAGAGGCCAATGGGCGCAGGTGGACACAGGACAAACAGAATCTCGGACGCCAGATCGTGAATGGAAGCTCTGGAGCTCTCACTGATTGACTGGTGTCCAGAGTCGAGAGTCAAGAGTCCAGAGTTGAGGGCTGTGTGTCATGTGAGCCATGTTGACACACAACAGCTAGAGAGCTATATAACAAATTAAATCCGAAAAAAACTTAAATACAAATTACGAATGCAAAGGCTAAGCTCAGTCAAATGGGGTTTATTTTACATTGCCGAAAAGCGAGAATGACCGGCTCTCTTCTAAAGGATTAGGAACAAAAAAGAGTCAGGGACAAATCTCAGTGGCGATAAAAAGCTGCTCATTAAACTGCCAAAAGAAAAGTGAAACAGCATTCAAATGGCGGAAAGCTGTAGAGTGCAACCTGTCAGGTTGAACTAAGGAAAAAATATGTAAGAAGAACGAAAGACGGGAAAAACGGCAGCTAAACTGTACGGAGAACGTGCTAAAACGTAAATCAACAGCGAAAATCGTGTTGAGCATTTTTTCGTAGCTGAAAAGGCATAAACAGCAGCTGCTCTGGGAGAATTGAAGTTGAAAAGTGCCAGCACAAAATCCAGATGGGTCGAGGATAGGTAAAGGCATGGGGAATTGGGGGCGGAAAGCCAATGGCCAGTGGCAGGAAACGGTAGCAGTTGTCCTGCTGGCAAAGGAAAACTGACTGACTAAAGTGAACGTAATTCAATATGCGGCGCCGTGTTAAAAGCTGTAAAAATGCTTAAGCGTTTTTCAATTTGCCAGGTTTTATGTTACGGACATCGCTTGTAGCTGCTCTTCAAGGCGAATGCGATTTGCTGCTAGCTCAAATTTCCTCAACGCTTGAGAAACTCATTTGTAAAGTAAAGTGTCTGACATGACCATAAAAGGAAGGGGTGAATATTTCCGATATTGCAAATAACAGTCACAAACAAATTTGACTTCTTTGCCATCCGGAAAAAAAATGTTGAACCGAACATCGCTAGTTTGCAATTTGCGTCAAGTTTTTATTTGGAAAATTTCCTGCCCAACACCTTTCACCTTTTTTGCGCAAAATTTCCTGCCCTGTTCGAAAACAGTAGGAAAAGTTTCCGATGCAGCTGGGGTAAATGGGTAAAATGGGTAAAAAGTGCCAACGTAGCCAGAAACAATTAAACTTGAACTTTTGTCATGGAACGAATGCAATAAATGAAACTAAAAACAAAAATCTGAAAGCGCAGCAGGAATTTCTGCCGTATCAGCAAAACATGGCGACAGACACAATTTCCGTCCTACCTCCTGTCCAAGACAAAAGTTTTTGGCACAGCGTGGCTAATTAATTTTTGTTTATTGCCCATATGCAGTGGGCAGCCAAAATTCCCTTGTAGAAATTAAATTAATTAAATGTTCTAACGCTCTTAATTTCATTCGTTTCGCTTACAGGCAAACACACGCGACTGGACACCCAGCAGGCGGCACAGGAAGGTAATTAATATGCTCTCATTTCCCCTTTTTTCGAGGGCCCCACGGGACGTAAGCGCAATGTGCCGCAGTGCAGCGGGCAAAGGATGTAAAGAAAATATCTGCTCTGTTCCAACTATGCTTTGCTAGCAAAAAGATATGAGGGAACTTTTAATTAAATGGACTCAACTTACAAAGTCACATTCTCTGAATAATTTACTTATGCTTTTTACTTAAAGAATCTGATTTTCCGCGTTTCGCGGAACCCATTGCCAATGTCACTGTCTCTATTGGCCGAGATGCCCTTTTGGCATGTGTGGTGGAGAATCTCAAGGGCTATAAGGTGGCCTGGGTGAGGGTGGACACGCAGACAATCCTATCCATCCACCATAACGTAATCTCGCAGAATAGCCGCATCAGCTTGACCTACAATGACCATCGTTCGGTGGGTTCCTTAGAAATATATATTTCATAACACTTTTACTTGAATATTTATTCTACAGTGGTACTTACACATCAAGGAGGTGGAGGAGACGGATCGCGGGTGGTACATGTGCCAAGTCAACACGGTGAGTAAAAGTGGTCTAAGTTAGTTCAGAGAATCACCAATTTAATGTCTTTATTCCCGGCAGGATCCCATGCGCTCCAGAAAGGGATACTTGCAGGTGGTGGGTGAGTATAAAAACTAATCCCTATTACTGTCCACTGACCCCGAGTGTTACCCATTGGCCTTCGATAACACGCCGTGCCTTTCTCATCCCCGCAGTTCCTCCGATGATTGTCGAGGGCCTGACTAGCAACGACATGGTGGTGCGCGAGGGTCAGAATGTCTCCCTGGTTTGCAAGGCACGTGGCTATCCCGAGCCCTACGTCATGTGGCGTCGCGAGGACGGCGAGGAAATGCTAATTGGCGGGGAGCACGGTAAGCGACCCGATTTCGCCGCATTGCACTTGGTTTAACCAGGTCCTTTTCTCCCCCAATTCCCGATTGCTTCATTCCCGAACACCCATCCCCGCAGTCAACGTGGTCGACGGCGAGCTGCTGCACATCACCAAAGTCAGTCGCCTGCACATGGCTGCATATCTGTGCGTCGCCTCCAACGGAGTCCCGCCATCGATTAGCAAGCGGGTCCACCTGCGTGTGCAATGTGAGTAAATGTCAATCGTTTGGCCAGTCAGCCCAACTTGGCTAACTGCCTGACCCTTTGGCTTAAATATAAGTTGCTTTTGCCGAAGGGCGTGCTAGATGGGAAGTTCATTAGTTCATTTTTAAATCAATAAAGCGTAAAGGTCCAGGAAAAATCTATAAAATGTATTTTTAGAAATATCCAAATATTTAATATTTTTTGGTTGCCGCGGTACAGTAAAGACTCCTAGCAAGCAATGTAACGAGTTTCCTACTTTAAACGAATTCGGTGCATCAATATTTCCTGGCTGATTTTTCTGGGTAGCGTAAAACGGAAATGGCAAAAATAACGTAAAATCCATTTTGGGCTCAACTCTCTTGCAATATTTATGGCATGTAGAGAAGGGCTGGGAATGGGAAATGTGGTTGTGACGAACGCTGAATTCAATGCGTAAAATACATACAAACCAAGGCTGCCTACCCCTACCTGCAATCGCCACTCCCCATCTCCCCTCTGTTTGTTGCCAATGCAGTTTTTGGGGCAATAACCGCAACGCGTCCTCAACATTGGCATACAAAGCAGAGATGGACGGAAAAGTGGGTGGAACTGGGTGGCAAACTGCCCACGCACTTGGCCAAAATCGACCAAAAGCTGCAGTCACGTTAAATTAATTTACCTGTGAGAGCTTGACCGTGTGTGTCCCACTGCCTGTGGCCGAAACTGTTAGAGATGGAAAGGCCTGAGCTTGGATTAAGTGCCTAAAATTTACAAACTTATCAGGAAAAATATGGAAAGTGCACTTAATATGAATGCCTTAATTTATACAGAAAATTCAATTTCATAATAAAGACACCATTGTTTGTTTTGAAAATGTGAACGACACTTCAAAGTGTTGCCACATATTGGAACTTTGAAATGTAAATATTTGAATTTATAAAGCATTTAGCTGCCAGCTTTCCCCAGCTACCATCTCTAGTCTCCATTTGCTGATGCACTGCGCTCATTTCGCTTTGTTTGTGGGTGTTTGTTTGTTTGTTTGTCGGCAGGTGTTATTTTGTGCCCCCGTGATGTGTGCGTGGCCAAAATGCGTTCACCATTCGCAGAGCAGCTTTTGTTGTTACTGTGGGGCCCACACCCACAAATAGCCGCTTTCGCCCACCCCACCCCTTTAGTATCAACAGCGGCAACAAAAGCTATTTACGCACACACACCCTGGCCAGATGGACGGCCATATCCCAGACACAATCACTCGCTCCCAGGCGCACTTTTAATGACTGAGTGCATTTTAATCCAAAAACAGTTTGTAAACTCACGTAAAATGGTATGCAAAATTCTCGGTAAAACTCGGATGGTGCCGTATAGCTGATGAAAAGTCCGTAACGTATTCGGTATGGGTGGTATGGGGCCCTGAAAAGGGCTACGGCTTGCATTGAGTGCTGGAAAAACAATTTTGTAGTTGGATGGTAGCTGCAGCTGTTGGGATAATGGATTCAATTTTAAAATAATGGAAGTGGATTACTTTCTGGAGTATTAAGTTTGAGAAGAAGTTGTCTGGGTTAAATGATGGACTCATATTTTAAGAGTTTACAAGGCTTGCAGAATATTAATATAAGAATTATTCTAAGTTATTTTGAATGTGTATTTAGTTTAATTTTATTTTTCTTTAACGAACTTTAAGTACTGACATGGTGTTATTAAATTCATTTTTCTTGTATATAGTTCCACCGATGTTATCAATTCCTAATCAACTTGAAGGAGCTTACCTGGGCCAAGACGTTATACTAGAGTGCCACACCGAAGCCTATCCAGCCTCGATTAACTATTGGACCACGGAACGAGGCGACATGATCATATCGGGTAAGCTAAGGGTGTGAAACGGTCGCTTGTAGAACTGGCTGTAAAGAAAATCGAGTAAATAAGAGCCGCATTTATTAACTGAAAAACGTTTTTAAATAAGCTTACAATGTAATCATCATGCATACCAACACCTCAGACTTCTTTACTCGCTTAAGTCCAGTCTGCGGAAAATTGTCATTGTGAAAAGCCGAAGGGAAAAACAAAATGAAAACATGCAACAGTAGCGAACGCGAAAACCTCAGTTGAGCTGATCCCGTTTATTTCCCCTTTTTCCCCGATGCAAGGGAATGCAAGTGAATGCTCATGTGGAGACCCTTTTTTTATTATTTCACATGGAAGTTTTCGGCTTTTTTACATTCTTTCGGCGTGCAATGGCTGGCCATAAAATGCGTTGCCCGTACGTACTGTGTGACAGGCTTAAAATGCACATTTACGTACACATCTGCACACACAAGATGCAGAGACATTGTGGCATTTTGAACTGGCCTGCCTTAAAGTGTCTCCTCTTTATGGGGTGACGTTTTAACAGTTTTCTCTTGATTGACACCGGACAGTTTTCCGAGAAAGTCAAAAAGTTGAAGCCAGACAGAGATTGAATATGTGTCAGAGGGGGGCCGAGCTAAGATCAAACTCAAGCCCCTCATGATATGAAAGTGCATCTTGCACAAAAAGAATTTTCTTAAGTCATCACAACGTCATTTTCCTGCATGATTTACCTAACACATTAGGCCTGAACTTTAAGTTGATGTCGAACACCAATATTTCAAAACACAATAATATTAATTAACCTTAAAGCTCTCAAATGCTTTCCAAATTAAATACGGTCAAAATTTAAATAATCAAAACTAATAAATAACATATTTGATGCGCGGAAAATAGGCAATTCCAGCATGAAATAATTTCGCTAAAATCGGTCCACAATCTAAATTGAATAAAGAAAATGGAAACTGTCTGAAATATTATTTTGTTGCTGAAATTATTTAAATATAATCACATTGCCATGGCATATTTCCCCGGTTGCCAAAATACCAGAGGGAGGCAAATATGTGCAACAGTATCAATTGACTGCCGGAACTCATTGCGATTTTGGTAAATTAATACGGAAAATACATATCATTGTTTGCACTCCATGCCTCCCAAAATGATATTGGGGATTTTAAATTACTTTCTGGGAGAACTTTATGATCAAATATTTTCTGGATAGTATTAATTTCTCAATGATAAACCAAAGAAAACCAAAAAAGCCATTCCAATATAAGCCAGCCCCTATGACTTATTGATGGCATATGCATAAAAATATAGCTAAATATAGACGAGCCTTTGATGGACTGTCATTTGGTTTCATTTTATGCTTAAATGTCACTTTGTTTGTTCGATAAGGAAGACATAGCCATGCCCAACTCGAAAGGCGAAGCCATGGCCCGGCTTTTGCTGTCTCAGGTAGAAAATAGTGAGGCGGAAATATGACATTTCATATGCACACACGCACAGGCGACAAACTGAGCCACAGCTAGGAATATGCGAACCAAGATATGAGATATGAAAGCCACGGTCATGATGTATGGCTAACAGCCACCAAAAGTTTGGGTAATAAATTTTAGCCTCTTTCCCATAGAGTTCCATATAACTATCTACGAACTGTGGTATGAAAATGAAAGAAGCATGGAAAGTATATAGGTATATTTATGGTTCAAGAGGTCTAAAATATATTTTCGTTTTGCGGCTTTTAAAGTGTTACCAAGACTTAAATGTTACCTATAATACACTTTAATGCTTGGGATATATAGGATACAATTTTTTCCATACGTTAAAAACTCCTCTATGAAATATTATTTCTCATATATAAAAAAGTTTATAAACTGCCCTCGTTTAACTGTCTACAGCAGATGCCATATATCACAAGCGTATAGTTTATAGTATGCCAGTTTGCGGGGCAGAACAAGCAATTCTACAAGCAGTTCAAGAAACCGAAACTTTCCTTTAATGCGGCTGGTATTAAAAGTATAAAGTTCCTTGAAAGACTTGGCGGGCAGGGAAAAGAATTGCTGCCGCCGATGATTATGAGAAAAATTATATATTTGCGTGTCGGAGGGACTTACATGTGGGCCTACGGATAGTTGTTGTGGCATGTGCAGAGAGATGGAGAAGTATCACAAAAGGTGACTGGGTCTATAAAAAGAAGTCGCAAGAGCGGGTCACATGCAAGTTGGGCGCTATGTGGAAAATTGTTTTTCCCCCATTGTTTGGGGCTGACGAAAAAGAAAGAACAAGGAAACTTAAGACATTTGTCACAAACACACATATACACACTGGCATAGACAAAGGACAACATGACGTATGGGTAACATGCGATATCGCCTTACAATGCGCCAAGCAATCAAAGTGAAATTAAGTTTATATATTTAATGCTACTTACTGCTAGCTAGCTACTTGGTCTCGTTTTCCCATCGTACTAGTAGTAGAGCGCCCGAAAAAGTAGGCAACACAATACGAAATGAAACGAAACGAAATGGAACGAAATTAAAGCCGCAGACGGCAGAAGAACAAAAGTTTTTCTTTTAGATTTTCACTGATTAATGAGAAAAGTTTTAGTTGGCGATGGCAATGGAAATGGCTGAAGAACTGCGCCAGTTTTAATTACACACACACTCATTGAAGGCAAGAGCTGGGGGGAGGGTCGGAAGTTGGATGGTATGGGTGTAATTAGTTGGGGTCCTCCGATTGAGAAAGCGACTCACTTCACTGCACATGGCCAGCACCAACAACACTAACAGCAGTGGTAGCCCAGTGCAGGTGACATTAATTAATTGATTTTTTCCACCACCTTACACATATTTTCCAACCATAACGCTATTGCTGGAAAATTGTCTCTGTAATTTATGGCACGCCCACTTTAAAAGGATGCCGCCGTCGACTGACTGACAGTTTTTCCACATATTTCGCACTTTCAGACACCTCGCGAGCCGGCGATAAATACGAGACCACATCAACCGTCAGCGGTTACACAAAATACATGAAGTTAAAAATCCGCGCCGTTGGCCCCAACGATTTTGGCACATATCGCTGTGTGGCGAAGAACTCTCTGGGCGAAACTGATGGAAATATAAAACTGGATGGTAAGCGGATATATATTGTAATTTATTTTACTTTTTTATCCCTTGACATTGTTACAATGTATTTAATTTAGATATATAAAGTATATAAATTTAAACAACTGACTTTATCCTTAATTGCCTACAGAAATGCCAACACCAACAACGGCCATTATTTCAGAGATGTCCTTGCTCAACCGCAGCTATGGTAAGAGTCCATTTTGTTTATAGCCATCAAAGTATATTTAACTTTTTAAAGTTCGCTTTGTGCTGTAAACTTTAAAGAGCCAAATAAATTGGTAAACAGCTTAAATTTGCATTATGTCCAGTTCAGAGCCATTCGATCAACTCCCTAATTGATTAAATTTCAATCATAAGCATCGAAGCATAATTTTTTTGCTTGGTCATGAATTATATAACACAATAATGGGTTTTTAATTTTATGCACTGCAAAGCACAATATCACCGTCAGCACAATACATTAAATTGGTTCATAAGGGCAAAAAAACATGAATGTCATAGTTAAGGATATCGCGTTTATAGCAATCATCATCTGGAACTATTCACTAGGCAATTAAATATTTACCAACTTGTAATTGCTTTCTTTAAACTTGATTTTACTTGTACCTGAGAAAAATCACTTAGCGTTGTAGCTTTGCTAAATGAAAGCGATAAGAGTCCGAAACATGTTGAAATTACAGTAATTAACGCGAATAGCCGAAAACACAAATCATCGTAAAACCACACACCATATAGGACCGCACCCCATTCCTCATCCATCCAGCCACCTCGTTTCGACTCCATCAAGTCAAAGTTGCATGCAATTTCAGTTACCGTTTCTTCTGTTTCGCCCTTTGTTGGTTATTCTCTGGCTTTGTTGGCCCTCTCAAAGGGCTATTAAATGCAAATAAATGCAAAAATTAAATAAAAATACCTTAGCATACAATTACCCTGGCATCTGTGTAAATGTGTATAACTAAATTCTTTTTATATGGTTTCTCTTTCTCTTCATTGTTTCCAAAAAAACAAAAAAATACCTTCCTGAATTTGAATATTTCTTTCATGTTATGCCCTTCTCCAACAAATAAAAACAACCAACAACAACAACCGCCATCACTCACGTACCGCGTTATCCTGAACTCTCCCTGAACTATATATCTCGACTCCTTGACTGACGCTTGCTGCATAAAATTAAAAATGTGTAAAAAATATAAAGATGGCAAGAGACGTCATAGAAATAAATTTGACTCGGCTAACGCTCTGCCTGATTATGGGGTTGAGGAGTGGCGTGACGGTGCCCAAGGTAAGTACTATATCTCCATCTGCACCAGCCTTTCATCCGTTCCAAAGACCCCAGCAATCCAGCATCCACCATCTACCATCCCCCACCACCTCGATTCCCCCTTTATTTTTTCATGTCTATCTCTTCTTTAGTGGCATTTTATGGACCGTGCTGCATTTTCTACTATATTTGCACATTGCGAGGCCAAAGTTGCCTCTCGTGGTTGCATTTTTTTTTCATGGCATTCATTTCGTTTCAAGTGCGTCGCCGTGTGATCTCATAATTTCAATCTTTCTCTCCTTGGCCGAAAACTTGGACTGCGCATAATATGGCCGGGACTTTGCCGGGCCAAGTGTTAAGCACAAACGTTAAAAATTAATTAAATTTCCGTGCTCTATGCGAAATGACGGCTTTCAGTCCGTTGCCTTGTTGTTATTTTCATTCATCCGCTTTCCCCAGCAAATACAAATTGCACTTGGTTTGCCGCCGGTATCTTGGATTTGTATAGTGCCATAAGCATTGACGGGAAAAGCAATAAATGGGGCTTACAGCACAATAACTTTGGCAAACAAAGAACACGAAATTCGCAACGGATAAGACAGATAAAGCAGAAGTGCAACTTTAAATGGCAATAAAGATTTTTATTTCCCTAGTAAAACAGATAAAACATATCCTAAAATACTTTCGAAAAAGACATTTGGTGATGAGAAATGTCCATTGCTATTCTATTGAAAACTGATTTAATTTTTGTACTCTTTATGAATTTCCTGTAAAAGCCGTTTTTCACAAATTCATCAAATCGTTTAACCCAAAAAGCCAAAATAAAACAAAGAAAGCATGAAAAAATGCAAATAAAAAATGTGTATGCATTCCATATTGTCACATTTTGAATCCATGTTGGACATTTCACCCCGTTGTATCTGTCGCTTTGAGTTTTGTGGTTCGGTGTTGATCTGTTGATCCCTACTGCTGCAAGTCAAATAAATTGTGCAGCAATAAAAATGCCATCGGGCGACAGCAAAACCAACAAGTGGTGCCTGAGCAATAAAAACTAGCGACATTGTTGATTGACACTGACATTTTGGCCATGTCAACGACAAAGTCCATCTCTCTGGCCATCTATCCAGTATTTGCAAATGTTTGTTTTTGTTTTTCGAATGAAGGTGTGGTGTGTGTAGAACACGTGTCCCCTGTTGCATTCGTTTTTATGGGCTGTCAAATTTGGCGGCTAAACGCCCCCCGGATATGATAGTAGATATGCTGAATTCCAACCGCATCGGCCAGCCAATTAGCCATAAACAGTGGCTTTTCAAATTTTCTGCCGTATGCGCTTTAGGCTGAATTAATCCTTGCCGAATTACCAGGCCGAAACGAACGAAATGGTATTATTCTGGTTTCCTTTTTGTCCGACTTATTTCTGCTTGTGTTTATTGCATTTAAAATGCAATTATTTAAGGCACGCGTCCGTAAAATGCCGTTCAACCGACTGCACTAATGAACTGAAGCCCAAAACTGCTTCAGAGGGGGCGTGGCCGGCCCTTGTCCGCCCAACTCTGATCCTGTCCCATTTGGCTACAGAGTCCCGGCTCCGGAGGCATTCGTGCATTGCAAGCACCCAAAAAGGGAAAATAAAACGAAGAATGAAAAAAAAAAATAGATAAAATGCCTGTTCATTGTGGGAGAGTCTACAGTTGGTGGGAGGAAAACCCAGGCGATTGGATATCTTGCAAGTGGGAGGGGGAGAGGGGTTTCTCCCACTGGGTCGTAGACTTTATTGATTCAACATTGGAGTTTGGGGCTCCAAGTTGCTGGGAAAACTTAATGAAGACGCCTAGCTACAGATGCTGAACTCGAGCAAGCAATTAGGATGAGGGAGATTGAAGTTTCAAAGAAATTGGCAAAAAAAGAGTTACCATATTTTAATATTTTTGCAATCTTAAGAAAAATATTTTTAAAACTAAAAACCAAAGAAGCATTTGCTGAAATCCAAAACAAATTACCTTTTTTAATCTCTAAACTATTTTACTAAGAGCTCATTTCAATTTAAGGCAAATCCGTTGGCATCTTTTATGGCATCGAAATAATACAAATATTTGTTCTATAAAACTCCACTCCAAATATGCAAGAAATATGGATTTTATTTGGATGCTGCAGCGTGAGATAAAGAAATAATGTTGGTATTCCATATATTATTTAACTGCATTCAAAACAAAATGCTGGCAAAGTGTACCGCAAAATGCCATTGGGAAATGCTTTTTTGATTGATTGCCGATTGGCAGTTTCGACGTTGATTTCTCCGCGAATCGGTTCGGTTTATAAATAAAATATCACAAAAAAAAGTACGACTGAACCAAGCCGAAAAACCAAAAATATAAAAAAAAGCACACGACAAAACAAAAAGGAAAACCCGGCCAAAACGGAAATATTTATTGCCTCACATCAAATGAAATATGCCATCAAAATTGTCTGGCTGTTGGTTGACACCTTTTCGGTTGGCTCTCAATCAAGCGTAAATGCGGGCATTGACTGTCTGCTTGCTTTGGATTTCTCACTCTGCATCAATCCATATACTGCTGACATAAATCAAATGCCAAAGGGGAATAGGTGGCACTTTTTTGCTTTGCCTTTAAGCAGGCCGAGGAAAACAATCAAAATGATGCTGGATGCCATATGTGTGTCGGATCTTCAGGGACTTTTGTTTGCTACACGTTTGAAGTAGGCTTATGAATCGGAAGGATTCCCGAATGAATTTCCCATACTTAGCTTAATGGTTTCACATGCTCTATCGTATAAAAATCACTGCTTTAAGTCGAATCGTTTTTGCAGACAATTCAATTTCGCTTTTCGCCCGCCAACCCATTCCCAATGTACGCATCTATCACTTTATATTTATGACTCTGACTGTTGTGAAAACAGCCTCATCCCACCACACACTGCAAAAACCATTCAGAGGCAAGGGAATGAGCTCTTAAAGCCCACTTTGTGGTTATTTATGGGGTCAACCGACGAAAAGTCAAACGCCAAAGATTAAAAGTAGATAAAATATATTTAATAGCCCCCGCAGGTCCTGCCCTATCAACAACACACCCATTACAGTGGGCTGTACAGCAAGAAATATACCCAAAGGGGTGGAAATTAGAAGGATAATGATGGATTGTGGTAATTAAAGAATGATTTTTTAAGTGGACCTCATTATGACTTCGGTGCCAGTTCTTTTTCGACTGACATATTTTCCCCTTTCTCGCCCACAGTGTATATATATATTTGTATATCCGACATTGACGTGCGGTCAACAAAGTGCGTTCAATGACGTGCATAAAAACCAACAGCAGCAGAAAACGCCACAGAGACACTCAATCAGCCAGAGACAGTGGGTGGTGGGTTGGGAAATGTGAAAGGGCGGACAAAGAACGGTGAAATATGGCCAAGTAATCGCTGTCCGAATGCTCCTTGAATGCCTTGACGTTATAAAGAAGTACAAAGACGTTGTAAAATGTCGGAATGTCCTGTTAAATGTGTGTATAAAAAACTGTGAAAGCGGGAACTGCGGGAGGTCAACAAGCGGAATGAAGTCGATGGCTCAAGTGGTCTGCGTTAATAAAACACTGAAGAATGAGACAGCGGGGCGTCTTTTTAAAGTATTCATATAGTTTAAGTTGTAGGGTGCTTTAATGAACTAAGAAATAACTGACAAACAGAGAGACTGACTTTTACCAACACAACAAACTATGCTATATATTCATATTTCGTGCCTAATTTAACTTTAGCTGAACTTTAATTTCAAAATTAATTTTCCCCCAAAAATAACAGAATTATAATAAGCGCCAAAGTATTTATGCCACTGATGCTTTAAGCCAGGGACATAAACCAGCAAAGTAACCCTCGCACGCACACAATGAACTATTCAGTGCACAGCATACATTCCGTCAGGGAAGACCAATTTACTTTAATGCCACCCAAAATCCATATCCCACTCGATGGCACTCCACCATTCCACCGATCCACCTCTTGTCCTGACCAAAAACCCAACCCTGTGATGATAATGTATCCAGTGCCAATTTGGCATCCGCCGAACGCACAAAATAAATGAAAACATAAACCCAGACTAACCAAAAAACTGATTACTACATGCTTTCCCTCTCGTTCACTATCGTTATGTCTCGCTCTCTCTCTCCTTTTTCCCACAGGCAACCATGCTGGGAACAATGGCGATAACAATCAAACGCCCGTGCGTAATCCGCCCGGAGCATTTCACAATTCTGCAGGCTCACTGGCGCAGCATAATCTACTTGCTAAAATAATGCTCGGCATTAAAACGCAATCATTTGGGATTTTCAAACGTTTATCGAGTTCTTTCCCGACGGCTGCGAAGCAAGGCTCCCTTTGGCTGTCGACATTATCGCTGGGCTCGCCAAGTCGGTGGCGTATGAGTAATATGGAAAAACGGCCGAATACACCGGAGACCGTTGTCAACGACGATACTGCCTTTGAATGCTGGGAGAGGAGAAATCATTGCGGGAATAAGAACAACATAACCAACAGCCCAACAAGGTGGGCGGGGCATTCGCGCATATTTCACATTGCTCATACGCCGTGTGGCGCGTCAACGCAGCACTCGAAACGCCAACACGAACGCCTATACGAACGCCAGTGGCAATGGCTGTGGAAATGGAAGTGGCAGTGGCAGTGGCAGTGGCCAATGCTCATTTGCATAGTAATATTGGTTGGCTGTTTCGTTCGGTGGCTGCCAATGTTGCTGCATTTTATCGGCCGCCACATCGGAACATTTTCTATTAGCGCGACGCATAGGCAACATTTAATGTGCACATTTTGGGCCATCCGTGGTAATAAGGTTGTCGCCAAAAACACCAACACCACAGCCGAGCCAAGTACCGTCGATATGCTCTGCCCTCGGAAATTTTCAAGATGAAATCAAATAATTGCAAAGGGCAAAAAGAAACTCATTTAGGGCACAAGCAGCTTGAAGGTAAAGAAAATCAAACCTTGGCCAGAGGAGGACAAGGATTAAAATGAACAGGAGTGAGGAAGTAGTACGGACAACTGCAAAGGTAGAAAGTCAGATATAGATATGTTTATACTAGAGCGTAAAATGAAAATCATGTTAGGAACGAGCTGGCCAAGAGCGACAGCTGATGTGCAGCAAATAAGGATGGCTACATCCGACATTCGGCGAATGATGTGGCTTCAGTACTTATCGGAAGTCTAACAAAATTTAATGTACCTATTAGTATCAAAATGAATGTCTTGGAATAAATATAATTTGTTATCTTTATATGATTTCAAATCATGACGTTCGAATGTAAAAATACAATTGTTTGAAAAACCGAAAAATATTTGCTGATTTAGAATCAAAAGGTTGAGAAATATAATTTTTATCTTTTAAATAAATTATTTTCAAAACTCAAATATCTTTAAGGTTTAAGTTGAAAGCCACAGCAAATAAAAAAAGTTGTATTATGTAAAAACCATAATAGATCCAATTAAATGGAAATAAATTAATTATAGTCCACAAAAAAATGCAAAACAGAAATGGCAAAAGAGTGGAAAAAACGGTTAATCAAATTTGCATTTAGATGAAAGTATTTACGCATACTCATACATAGCGAATTTACATAGTAAATTTAGCAGAATTATAAAATAAAACAGAAAAAGATTAAAGGAAAAATGTAAACCACAAAATGGCAAAGCAAAAAAGTGTGGAATTAAGTAATTCATTGGATATAAAGTTGATACTAAAACAATATTGAGATTGTTTATCCTATTTTTTATCCCAAAAATCATAGTGTTAACAATACTTTGGCTTATTCAATTAATTTGATTTGCATTGCATTTAATTTGCTCAATTTTAAATTATTTATTACCGTACAAAAGATGTAATGATTATTAACCCCAATGAATGCCATATTAATTTTAATTTCCTGCATTCCTGTTATGATTTATCATGTTGTTGAGAATTTAATTAAAGCATTTGTATACTCCCTTTAAATGTAAATATTTAAATAGCATAAGCATTAATGAGTATTAAATGAATTTAATGAAACTTCGCTGTACATATGAAAGAAAACTAAGTGTGAAACTATACCTACAATTCCATCTAAGGCTCATAGGACTTACAGGGCCCTATTTAAATATATTTATGAAACATGAAATGAAATGGATAAACGTGCTTTAGTTTTCATTTGTAAATAAATCTACCACATTTATCTATACAAGTTGAAATGAATGTTAACGCGTTAATGAAATAAAATATATATCTATAGGTGTAGGAAAACCAAAAAAAGGAGTGCAAGAACACAACCAAATTTTGCAGTTAAAATATGATGAGACCTATTTATTTAAGCCTACTTAAGAAGCTCAGAAAACTTAAACATGAAATCGGAAGATTATATATAACACGTAAGATAGCTATAGCATATGAATATATATGTATTGAGCTCTATATATGTGAATAAGTGGCATATCTATGTGACATATTTGTATGTAAATGTACGCAAAAGTTTACAGCAAAAATAAAACCAAAAAAAATACAAGCCCAACACAGTTTACTATAATTCCATTTGAAGGGCAAAACAACCTGCAATTTTCCGCAAGTAACCAACCAGAAGAATGAAATAAAATGCAGATGCTGATACATGTCTGAACTCAAATAGAAACGGTAGAGTATTGTCTTCTTGGATACTGTAAGAAATGTACGCCGTCATATGGTATGTATACTTTCCTACTGGTACAAAACATATTACTGCAAATACCATTACAATTACCACTCCTAGAAGAACACCTAATTGCCCCCACGATTTAAGAAGAAAAAGCAAGAAAAAACTGAAACATAATGGATGAAAACAGAAGCAAGGCCACAATGAAAGAAAACGAGAGTAAATACCTACACACATTCTCAGACTTTACTTAAAACCAGGCCAAACCGATTTTCCCCTTTTTTGTTTGTTTTTTTTTGCAGCTTGTTTATAGGAATTGTTGCAGCATCTCCTGCCTCTTTTGAAAATGTTGCGGCTGCCATTGAAAAGCCTTGGTGTGGAAATGAGCGAAATTTCCAAGCAATTAGCAATGCCAGAATGAAGCACGACGAAAGAACGATGTATCCTCGTCATTTTCATCTTGCAGCGGCTGACAGTGCGTATGAGCAATGCCATCTTGCTGTAAGAAGAAACTAATTATAGGAATCATGCAATCTAATTCCCTATGAACTTTAACTTCAATAGGTTTAAAAATAGTTTGGAAATTTGTTCCTACTATTTAATATAACAGAAAGCTTTAGGTATCTTCAAGCAGGAGCATCCTCTCTTTTTTGGGAAAAATGATTTTCGAAATATAATAGAAGCGAAGTAAGACAGAAGATTGAGAATCAGTGTTCACTCGGAACATATGTGTATCTCAGCTAAAAAAAAACATGCCTCACGTACAACAAAAGGTAGCTAAAAAGGTGTTGGTAACAAAGTTGTCAGAGTTACTCGGTCCCTGTTGTCTTCCACGGGGCTTCTGCGAATGGAAAAATCCCGGGGCAAATGCAAGTGGAAAATTCAATTTGTAAAGTGCATAAAAGTAGCGCTGAGGCAGACCAAAAACTACGGGATACGGTGGAGTCACATGTGCTACTGCTCGGCGCTCAGGGTATTTGTTGTTAAACAAAGGCGGCAGCTACTGTACCCAACCAGGAGGTATTCTTCACTCCGCATTCCCCTCAACTTCAGCCAGGAGCTGTTTACACATACTGCCATAACAAGGACGACTGTGGAGTCCAAGTTGCAGTGGCATAAACGTGAATGCTGCACCAACATTGTAATTAAATCTGCGTCAACATAAGCGTTGCCAGCTGCAAAACTGGTAAGAGAAAAAATGGCCAAGGCGGAACAAATGTCGACGACAATTTTCCGTGCTCGTGAATGGCCGGCCATGTGTTTGTTTGCCATTCTGCATGTTCACTTGTTGGCTTGGATAGGTGAATGAGGACACGTGGAGCATTCTAGAATGAGCCTGCGAATATGAACTGGCTCAATTGAGGATTCGTGAAGTTATGTCATAAATTTCCTTCTTATTTTATAAACATCTACATTTAAGGAAAAGCGCAACCAAAAGCCTGCATTACGCTTCACTTGAGCTCTTTAAGTGCTTATAAAAAATATGGTAATTAATGTGAAAAGCAAACCGGATTAAGAAAATATGAGAAGAAATATAATACCAGTTTTAGTCACTTCTCCTTCACATCCATCTTCCTTGAGCTATGTTTATTATCATTGGGCCTGCACGCATATTTGCGGCAATTAAGTCAGACCTTAAACGCATAAATCACGCATACGCCCCATTGAGCCCGTTTCCCCTTGCCCAAGCGTTTTGACCTGATTTGCTTCGATTAGACAAACGATAAATATCCAGTGTTAGAGCCTTGCCTTCCTTCTCCCCTCTAGAGTGTTTTTATGTCGTCGAAGGGTTAAACACTAGGACAACAGACTCTTAGCCGCCAGAGTTTATTAAGCTGTATAATATTTTGACAAAGGTCTGGCAGGGGGACGATGGCAATTACCACGGTCGGCAAAATATGAGAGTGGTAAACCAACATGAGGATTCGGGCGAGTAATGGCCGGATGGAGGGCATAACTTAACGTTCGCCAGTGTTGACGCTTACATCCTTGGGCGACCACTTATCATAACGCTCGAGCGTCTCTGGAGCAACACGCACATGCGCTGGCAATTATGCTAAAAGCGTTGAATTTATAGTTTCCCATACTCGATGCCAGCGAGTTGGGCCCTTTGAGCATTTTTAACATGGCTCAGCCTGTCCGCATTGGCCACTAAATAAATGGCTTTTAGAGCACGCGTTAATGATGTTGATTGTGGCCCAGGGAGCTAACGTTTCGTACCTTCCATCCTGCCCAGCCTGCCCATCCTCGATCCTCCACCGATTTCATGTTTAATGTTTTATAGCCACTGCGGCGAAATGGGGGCAGACAGCACGTTCCTGTTGGTCTCTGTCCGGTTTATTTTTATGATGATAGATGGCCGGGGCTACCCTATTCGCTATCTCACCGGTGCCTGTTGTCAAAAAGGATTTAATGCCATATTTATTAGAGGTGTAAATGCATACACACACGAGTGTAGGAGTGCGCATCCTTTGGCCAAACAAAGTTTGTTAATGGTTTGCATGCAGGATAGTCCAGCATCATTTGAAAACAAATGGAAAAATTCGAGATCATAACACAGGCCATTAAAATATGATAAATAGGGGCTTTTAAAAATTGTATTTCTCCTTTTTTTATTAGTTTGTTAACATATGTATCAAATGTTTGTTGCATTATCTTTGGTTTCACACGCCTGAAAAATCTTCCATAACCAAACCCATTATACAAATCTACATCTTTCCCAGCAACATATTTTTTTCTATTAGGATTTCACAATTAACACTACCAGAGTTTTCACCCCTGAGCGGGAGAATAATTCAAAACATCCTGCACTTAAAATGCAAACTGGGCATAAAACTGAAACTAACAAATAAAAATGGCAAAAATTAAAGTGTTGGCAAAGCTGTGCATCCCTCCCCATCCCAGGCTGCCAGGGATGCTGAAAGGAAAAAGCAAGGAACACAACGAGAGAAAAAAACACAGAAAGAAAAACATTTGCAGCCCAAACTCATCACTCAAAGGCTGGGCCATGCCCCCTTTTCGTCCCGCTTAGTCTGGGCAAAAAAAAAAAAAAAACACATAAACAATCCGGACGCAGTGAAAGCGGTGGCGGAGGAGATCGGGGCAGACCAGGAAAATGGTTTAAAACTCAATTAAAGTTTTAGCCGCAAAATAAATGCAAAAACGACGACGGCAGCGTCGACAGGAGGAAAAAATACTCAAACACAACAAACAAAAAACAAAACAAAAAAATAACAACGATTTGGGAATACCCAAAAATGACTTTCTGATTGGTTGAATACTCTAACCTTGCATTTTTAGTGAAGTCATAGTTAAGTTAGAAAAACTGTTATGTTTGGAATATTTTAAGTTGAAAACAAATTAGTACCAACTTTTTAAAATTTTTCAAAATTATTATATTAAATTTACTAAATTTGAATATTTGTTAGTAAGCTTTAAGAATTAAAATACAATTTTACATTAAACATGCTATTTGTATTAAAATAAACATTTAAAAACAAACCTTTAATAAAATAAAAAATGCTTACAAAAGAGACACAAATTTATTCTTCAACAAAAAGAAACAAAATTCAAAAACAAGAAAACTAAAAATAATTAAACAAAAACTTAAAATTTACATCAGTTAGGGAAACCATTTTCGCATTCTTCCTTAGAAAGCGCTCAAAGTGCGGGCCATCAGCGCTTGCTACGCCCACCGGAATGGCCGCCCCCTCCTCTAACCATGGTACTTTTGATGGCTGTAATTCAAATGAAAATTACACAAATGAATTGAATTTCCGAAAAATGCAGCAGCAGCTAGTAGCTAGCAAGCTAGCGAAACTTTGATGAGCCCCGGATCTGGTTTTTTGGAATGAGCGTAATGATTGTGTGTGGGTTCGAGTGGGCTGGAGTGCGAGTATTTGTTTGTTTGTTTGTTTGCGATTAGTTTACGCGCCCCTGGTGCCAGAATGCCTTTGGCCACCGGCTGCACCTCTTTTGACTCGCTGTCGATTGGAGTGCAGTTGGGCTAACGAGTTCCTCGAGAGTTTCACGGCAAATGGGTTTGGGTTTTGGGTTTTTGTTTTGGGTCTAGATTTTCGAAGGGGGGAAATTTAATGGCGCATTCTAGCCACACGCCGCCTTTGCCGCAAGAGTTTAAATTTGTTTTATTGGAGCGTGAAATCGGGTTTTGTTTTTAATTTGGTTGGGTTCGTTAGAGTACAACTGTTTGAGTGATTTTCTTTTTTCAAATCGCCCCAAAACTCATATACTTACCCATGGCAACAAAAAAATATCCCCGAACTGGAGGTAATCTGGGAATCTGCAGTTAGCACAGATACAATCGCCTCGCACCTAATTTGAATGCAGAGATGTCATTAAAAATAAGGCATTTAAGTGGCCGACATGCATTAAAATGGAATGTCCCGAATGCGGCAATGTGTTAATGACTCATTACACATGCAACACCACCAAATGGGCGATTCTGGCAACGGCAAAAGTTTTGCCACAATTTATGGAACGCGAATGTGGCTAAAATGCGGCAAAACATTAAGTTGAATTATGCAATAAAAATAATGCAATAATAGTTAAACTGGCACATGGCCCACAAAAACCCCAAATACGGGTAGTGGAAATGAGAAATTGGGGCCTCACATGAAAACAGTGCATGCCAAAACATGAAGTCTTTAAATTTACATTTCAAACTTCCAAACATGTAGATTTTAATCTGGATTTAAGAGGCTCAACTAATAGGATAATGGTTTTGCATTTTTTAGTCTTAAAGGTTGCCAATTTTTATTAATATTTACCCAAATTAATATGTATTTATCTTTGCAGTAATTTTAAAACATATTTTGTGTTATATACAAATTTGGACAGTCTCGGCAATAATTACATTTTGAAGGAAAACTGAAAATGCGGAAGAACTGTTTATTTATTTAGGAATACCTTACATTCAATTTACAAGTTGCACAATTTGAACACACACTGAGTTCCGATAGTTGGGTTAAATGACAAAATGAGGCTCAACATATCTAGTAACGATACTGAAAACTGGGATCCGAACCATAGACAATGCAACCACATGGATAACCTGTAAGAGGCGTTCAACGAAAGTTAACATATAGAATCTTTTAGCAACGGATGAGAGTTAATAAAAGACTGACAATTATTTACACACATATGTAGGCATATATTTGACATTTATTTGTGACACAAACAAATTTGTACAAGTCTTATGTTAGAAATTCATTCGCTTGCTTTTGATAAGTATAATATTTAGTATAATCATAATTTTTGAAATTAAAATATCGAAACGGCTTAGTATTTCAGTATTTCACCAATTGAATTCGTGTAGGAGATTGGTTACTATTGTGGCCAACAACCAGCTAAATTTCTAGCCACCAAACAAGGGGAATCGGGTCCAAACTACTTGGCCAATGCTGTTTATGGCAACTGTTTTGTGTACAATTTTGGAAGCATAAAAAAATGTGGTTGATCAAAAACTTTAGAAATATCTCTTGGGTTAATTTAGCACACATATAATTAGGCATAGAAAGAAGAGTTATAGATAGGGAATAGAACAGAGATACCAAGGACCCCCAACCTTCGCCTCAGCCTTATGGGCTAACATCTGAAACGAAAGAGAGTTGATCAATGGCATAAAATTGGGAAATGTAAAATCACTTTTCCCAACAATATTTGTATGTACATCGCGGTCAGGATAATATATATAAATTCATGATTTCCGAAGATAAAGCCTCTAGTAAATTCATTTAGTTACAGCACACAGACATTCACAACAAGCTCTAGCTGTCGCTATCGTAGCGTTCAGATGCCATCACCCAATGCACTAAATTGCAACACTTGAACTTGCCTCGCGGTTTGCACTGCAGGTGCTCTTTGATGTACTGGCAGGGGCACTGGAACTGTCCGCAGTGGCGTCCCGGCTCCAAGGGGGTTACATCCACCAGACCCCTGAGGGCTTCCATGCCCCAGCGGGATCCATAGCGCAGGAACAGCTGCAGACCGCGCTCCTGTGGAGATTTGTGGGAGATCGGGTTGTAAGACACGGGATAAAAAGATAGGTGGTGCATATGAACTGTGCTGGTGAGTCGGGTTAGGAACGTGGGCAATGGTAATCGTATGAGGCATTATGAGACATTAGTATTGCATACTTTTTGGCAGCAGCTGCAATTTACACCAATTAGGAAGTACTTAAGAATGAACATACATAAGATACAATAACTTAAAAAAATCAATCAAATACAAGTAATGTTTTGTAATTTAATAACACAAATACTTATCTTAGTTTAAGGAAAATAGCTAATATATATATCTAAATGGAGTTAAGTTATAGTAACTCAAATACCTTGTATTGATTTAAGTCTCATAACACAAATAAATAAAGTAATGAAAAATTAATTATAAATTATGAAATATTAATTTTAAAAAGCTTGTAGTTGCTGAAATGCTAAAATTTCTACGGAAAAGCCGATAATCAGAATTAATAAAATAACCATTTTCTCTGTTTTGGCTAAAAAATTTAATAGATTCTCGGCAATCTAAGAAGTGAAATATTTTGAGGATTACATGTCAGGAATTAGAGCCAGCAGCCCAAGCAGTTGATGCCGCAGCAGTGGCGATGCTGGAGGCTAATCTTGATCTTGTTGCGCAACAACTCCTCCTCGTATTGGCACGGACAGATAGACGACTGCAGATGGCGGGGCGTCTCATGGACACCGGCCTCCTGGACGGTCCAATCCAGACGACGGCGCAGGAAGTCCTTGCCCCAGCGCTGCAGGTAGCTCAGAAATAGCTCCTGGGCCACGGCCTAAAGAAAGTAGTTAGACATTGGATCATGAGGGGCGTGAGTGAGAGAGAGAGAGAAAGACGTGGTTTTGGGTTGCGAGTGCTATCCCGGGAGATGAAGATGAAGTCAACTACCCCTACTTAAGTTAAACCACCCTCCGAAAGGGAATGTAACAAAAGGTTCCGGCTCACCTGCTTGCGGGGCATTCGCACCGGCTGGCTGCCCTGGATAACAATATCGTTGAGGTCAATGTCCAGTTTCGCCTCCCAACCTGCCTTTAATAGCATCTCCTCCAGTCTGTTCCGTGTGCTCCAAGAACTCATTCAGGAAGTTTACGCATTGGGTAGCATCAAAATACATAAAGCACAGGTTAACCTTGTGGCACGAGATTCTACCTCGATCATCCAGAACCAACAGGATCTTGTGGCGCATAAGCTGCCGGTTCACGCGGGCCAGGCATTTTTCAAGGCCTCGAGACAGGCGCAACTTCACCCACATGCACAGAAAGATGGCAGCTGCGTTCAGAAAGAGCCACCCAACACCTAGGGCAAACAGGGCCACTCCCTGCAGACCGGAGAAGAGCAGAGCCAGCAAAACCGTAAAGGCGAACAGGATCCAGCAGACCAGGATGCGTTTATAGCAAATGTTGTACACGGTGAAGCGGTAGTCGTTGACCAACGTCTCCATTGCATTCACATAGTCCTCTACGGTGAGCTGCGAATATTGAATTTTTATAAAAAATTTTTAATTAAGATAGTTAAGCAGACATACCGTCAACCCCTGAGCCATCAGCTCTTCGGGCACCAGCTCCGGTCGAAATATGGCAGGCGTAATCCATGGCCATTTCGTGTTGGCCGGAAGAAGGGTGACAATCACATCGCCATTTGCTGTAGAAATATTTATTTAAAGTTTATAAAATGCATCTTTATAGATAAATTACTGATTTAAATGTCTCTTAAAATGTCAAAGTCAACTTCTTGATATTCACTCACCGAATCCCTCGCGAATGCGACCCGTTGACAGTTCGATTGTGCGCATTCCGGAACTATGATCCGCCGGCTGGCTAATTCCAGTTCCGTTGGCGCCACCACCATTGTGATGGTGGCTAGAAGATGTCGCTGCAGCCGGTGATGGAGAGGCGGCAGCGGAGGCTTTTTGGTTTATTAGCTGCTGTCGGACCGGACCAGATGCAGATCCACTGGCACTTGCACTTGTATTTGCACTTGCTCCGCTGACGATGCCGCTGCCGGATGCACTCAGATTAACGTGCGTGCTCTCGGTTGTCAAAACAGCGGGTGCCACATCCGGCAAGGAGGCCTGAGCTTGCACCTCGCCCGGTGTCCCAGCTGTGGTGGAGGAAACGGCTGGGCGCTGCAAAATGGCAAACAATAATGGGTTAATAATGCAACGGTCTTGCCCTTAAGACGACACTGGCCCAAGGGTCAAACGTTGGCCAGCCACGAAGACAATTATGCAAATGGTTAAGGAAAATCAATTTTATTGATTTGTGGTCATGCTTTTAGCTCGCTTGGAAACTAATATCTATAGTTTCGCGCACAATTGCAAATCGAACTGAAAACAATTTGGGGCAGGGCACGTTCTCAGTTGACAAAAATAGTTTTGTGAAGGCAATCCACTGCCTTTAAAAAATGGCCTGCCATTGAAAAGCCGAAAGCGATTTATTAGTTTTTGTTTGGCTCTTGGGAAAATCGCATGCTGTTTTTTGAGGTTGAATTGAGTAACCTCTTGTTAGGAATAACAATGTTATTCTTAGTGAATAACAAAGTTTGTTTGTGGATCCGCGATGCTTTAATTTGGCTCTCTTCCGATAAGCAAGCTAAACAAAGATAATATTCGGTAATTTAATATTTACAATTAAGTGGGCAGCAATGCAAACTATAAAAACCAGGTAGGTAATCTCACTGAGACAAACAAAAGATATGTTGTGCTAATATGGCTGAAACTTAGTCAAGAAAGAGTCATATGTCTAATCAACGACCTATTTTTCTTTAAAGCAATAGGTAAACTCTGCAAGCTAATGCTCTATTTATTAGTTCTATCACTAAGAAATATTGTCCTATAAAATGTCTATCTCTAAAGTCTAAAATTCTGACGTTTAATAAACATTTTTGAAATGAAAGTGTCAGGGTTGTGCAAAGTAATTGAAGGCCACAGCCTGTTGACAAGCACCGAAGTGAGCAAAATAAAATATACAAATATAAATGATAAATATTTACGGAAAAAAAAACAAATTACCAACATGGCAGGTGAAATACCCTAACACTGTCGGGTACGCAACCAAGCACTCATTTTGCTTTCGTTTTATAATTGCGGGAGTCATGTAGGTAAGAATTTATAAAACAAAAACAATTTTGAGCTAAGTCAAATGTAAATCAAATGAAAAAATCTTTCTGGTGCTTACATTTCTGGACCTCCTATGACATGTTGGTAAGCAATCAAATGAAAAACCTCGCAACTAAAGGCAGGTTGAGTCAGAATTTATCACCGGATGGGACCCGTTTTCAGATTCAGCTCTCAGCTGGGCCCCAACTTCATTTGTCATGCGTGCAACGTTCCAAAAAATCAAGCGAAAGAAAGTTAAGAACCAAAACCACTTCACATAACAACTATATTAAGCGGCATCAAAAACAAGTACAGTAAAGATTTGATAAAAATATATAAATACTAAGAAAGTGAAATTAACTGAAGATATACATTACAGAGAAAACTGTCAAAATTATAAAGCCTTTAAAAGAGAATAAATTATAGACAATTTCATGCTGATTGATTTCACACAATTGTAATTTAAATAATTATATTCTCTCAATTCCGACAAGTATTAAATTCTACATGAAAAACATCTGATGAAATAGAATTTATAATTCCTTGGAATAATTCACTGATTCGAGTGCTTCCTGTACCACCAAACGGGTGTGCGAAAGGGAGGGCTAACAAGGGCCTGACTTGCATTGGAATGCGTTTCGTTGCGTTGGGTCACCAACACGTAAGAGCAAGAAGGCGAGAGGGAGTCGGAGAGAGATGGAGATAAGAAGAGAGAGAGTGGTTAAGTTACCTGGACAGGTGTTGTTGTTGTTGCGGAGGGACTGCGCGAGCGCGCCCGCCTGTTGTTGTTGCTACTAACCACCGACGGCGGTGGCGGCAGAGTTAACTTGTTTTGTTGTTGCTGCTGCGGCTGCTGTTGTTGTGGTTGCTGTGTGGCATTGCCTTCGTTACTGTTATTGTTTTTTTCACCGCTATCCGCCTCGTCGTCGAATTTAACCCAATTTTTGGGCGTCTGCTTGTCGTCTTCGTTTCCATTAAGGGAAACATCTTCCAAAGGATGACTTTGCGCCTGCGCCTGCGCTGGATTGTTCGATTCCTCCATAGCGAATGCGTAATGTACTTAAACGATGCGCGTGCTTGGAATTAACTATTTTATTTTTTTTCAGGTGAGCGTGTGACCTGACTAATGCAGCTGCGTTTTGTTTTCGCGATTTTCTCTATTTTTTTGTATTACATAACCTCAATATGAATTCACACTTCAGTTGCGCCGCTGCCTATTATCGAGTTGGTTGTTGGTGTTTTTTTGTATTTGTTTTGCTACTAGCTTTTTTAACTCAGCTGCACAACGCGCCGCTTACGTGTTGGCCGCTCGCGAGTTCACATCGAACTGCTGCCGCTGCCGCGCCCAGCAACAAAAAAACAACGACCAAAACCAACACACACACACACAAGTCAGCTAGCAGCGGAAAAAACAACATTTGGCTCAGAGCGGAAAGCTCGGCTCAAAGGCGCGCTCAATCCACGTTCCACTACCAATCGGTCCGCGCTGTAAGCTCACCTGTTGCAGAGCTTTCCCGCTCTCAAACTCAGAAAAAAACCAGCTCAAGATCGGTTCAAAATTTCAAACCAAAAACTAAAATAATTTCATATAATATATCTAAATTTTCATATTTAACTATAGTTATTATTTCTATTCCTATACATAAACTTTTTATTTTTATTTTTATTATACAACATTTTAATTTTTAAAATAAAAATCCAACTGATTATAATAAGTTTCCCATATCAAATTCCTCTCTGTGTAATTGAATATTTATCTTATAATATCGGCTGCAAAAAGTAATGTTCTTTCTCAGAACCGCTCTCTTTCACATTTTGAAGTTTCTGTTTTGGTTACTCACATGACTTGCTTGGAGCTTTTTCCAGTATCTTCAGCTCCCCAATGTATCTGTATCTCAAGTGAGTCACAGGTCCACCGCAATGATCACTTATTTATCTTTGCTTGTTTAGAGATCGCTGTAGCTGAATATTTCGCAAAGCAAACAACTCTTTCCGCCGCTGAACTTGGATGATAAGACACGACGCCCTGTCTCCGATTTCAAAACCAATAAACACCTTTTATCACACTTGGCTATCGGTCAGATTTGCAAGAGCTTGGGCAATTTTTACCACCTGTAGAATCTTTTCGTGGCGAGAATAATCCGTATAATTCACACGCGTGAAGAATATTGTAAATAGTATTATGAAGGCAGTGCACTGTGAATCTGAAGTCACTATAGAACTCCTATTATGAAGCTATATTATGATAGCAGCTAATGATTAACTTTCAAAATATCTAAATAATAAATATCCGGTGAAGGCACAGTTTTCCTCTATCAATAATAGTAGCCTTTTCGTCCAAGGTGAGAATTCTTCACTTTTATCCTTTCAATACTACAAATTTAAATTGGCTTTGCAATCTATTCTATTAATCATTCCATTGCTCCAATTTATGGCACTATTTAGTGAAATACCAAAAGAAGAATGCAATTTAAAATCAATTTTGACGCTTGCAATGCCATTCAGAACGATCGGGTCCTGTTTTCCATGTCCTCCTTTCGATAAGCAGAGCAGACTGAATTTATGGCATCACCAAAAACAGGGCAAGGGGGCAATGGGGAAGGATGAGGCGGATGGCTGGACCGCATAGTTCACGCCTGGACGGAGCAACAAACATTTTTTGGCTCGAATAATATGAGAAATGCTAGAGAGCCCACAACATTATAGTGGCAATTGTTCGACTGGGCAGCCACAGAAAACTTTTGCCGCCCATAAATTATGCTGAAAAATTATTATATAAACGGCCAGTGTCGAATGGTGCCGAAGAAATTGGCCCACAGCCAAACGGAGAATCGGAAAAGTCTGGGAAAAAAGAGGGAGTCCGGAAAAAGGGGTGTGCCAACTATTGGCAAAAGTTGTTAAGCAAATTATGGCCTGGCACAGAGGCATTCAAAACTGTTTCAGTTCAAGTTGTCTGTATTCGTTTGCCTTAAATGGGATCCCTAGATGGTGGGCTCTAGAGCAGTAAAATGCAGCTGACAACTTGAATAAAATCTAAACCATAATAAAGAATTTCATGATTGCTTTAATTTTAAATAAATTCCTGAAAACTAGGAAAACGAAGTCATATCTAAAAAGGATAAGAAGCTGCTGTTCTACTTTTTATTTCGGCAAATTCTAATTTTAATATACTAAATTTTTCTTTTATGTCTTAAAACGGAACTTTGCCTTTATTTTAAAATTTACTCAACTTGTGAGTTTTCTATGAGATATGCCTCCTTTGTCCTACTCCACCTAAACTTACCTAAAATAAGTCTTTTCCATTAAGCCATAAATCGCTCAACAGGCCGAAAATCCTTTGTGGCTCTAACAGACTGAAAAGCCACAAAATCTGCAGTGAGTCTGTGGGAGAGGGTGAATGGAAGCCAGTGAAGCGGGCAAGCAGCCAGCCAAGAGTCTAATTAGGCCAAATTAATTGCCTGCGCTTTTGACACTTGCAAAGACTGAATCGGCCAAAACCCAAAAGAGTCAACAAGACAAAAGACGGGCAAGACAGCCTGCTGGCGAGGCGAAAACCAAGTACAACACTCAAAAGTCTATTTGCAACCGAACCAGTATAACCCCCTCTTTCTTCATCTCCTTCTGCCGGAAAAGAGTAATGTTGGCAATTTGTTGGTCGTCGTCTTATTAACCCGCAACAGGAGACGAGGAAGTTGGTGGTAACTTTTTGGCCAACGCGAGAATGTCCAACGGGCATATAAATTAGCCGAGACAGAAGTTTTCACTCGCCCCGCCCCCTTGTCTTTGAGCATCTGCTGATGAAAAGACAGGCAAAGTTTTGGCATCAAAAAATGTTTTCAAATTAAGCTAATTTATATTATATAAACACGCCTAATGAGTTCTCAAGCGAAGGCTCTACCGAAAAAGGGGTAGTCATAATTTCTGTGGAACATCTAGTGGAAGGCCGAAAAACAGGAAGCAAATGTACTATTCACACTATATATACTGAAGTATTTTTCGTCCTGGCATGGTGAACATTTTGATTTGCCTCGTCCACCTTTTAAGACCCTTTAAAAATGGCAAAAGTTTTCCCAACACTCTGTTGCTGCTGTTTTTATTGTTTTTGTTTTCCTTCACAGTTCGCTGGCGGAATTAACGTGACTTGCATAACGCCCGAAAGTATGCAACGCGGCTGTAAAGTGTCACCATCACCATCACCATTTGCTGGGGGGACCTTTTTGCTCCTTGGAGCCAGGACTCACTGCTGTGCAAAAATAAAAACAAAATGCAACTGGGGAAACGTGTCACAAACTTTATGCTCCTGCCACGCGTCACGCACGCGATTTTCGCTTAGTTGTTTGTCACTTTGTCGCCGCCTTTCTGCCGCTCCAGAATCTGCTCCTTTTTGCTTCTAAGGATCCCTACTCCTTGCACCCTTCGACTTGGCAAGAAAAATGGCGCTGGAAATTAAGTGAGCTGCCATAGCCGGAGCGGCATAAATTAGTGTGCTGAGATTTGAACCGAAGCGAACTTAAAGTGAAGTAAAAATAACACCGATTTTTTTAAAACGGAAAATTATGAATTTTATCTTAAATACAGGAATACATCAGTTAAGGACACTAAATATTGTGCAAATGTTAATATTACTTTTAATCCTAACTATTCTTTGATTTTGTCTTATTAAATAATGCAGTCAGTTTAAGCAGTCAGTTGGTAAGTAAGTAAGTAGTAAATGCTGGAGTACTCACGTCTTTAAAGCATTTACAAATATTTTAGCTACAATTTAATTAATTAAATTACTTGATGCTGAACTATGAGCTTCCATTTCCATCTGCTAACTGTTGCCACACTTGAAGACCACTCGAGTTTATAATAACTCACAACATGTTGCAGAAGAAACCACAAGAACACACACACCGACTCGTAACATGAGCTACATGACCGGGCCGGCAACAATGGAACTGACATCACAATGGGCCAAGAGGTCGACCAGGAATGTGGGGTCGACTGATGTTGGCACATGTCACCTTTCATAAAACATAGAATCACTTTGGGGTTGCAGCTATATGGCCCTTCACACGGAGAAATCTGGCCAAGAGAGGAATGTGGCCAGCACAAAGCTGAAAGCTGTCTTGAAGGAAACATCAGCCAGCTTCCAAGTAGACCAATCTTAGCACTTAAAATTGAAATGTTCAAATGCGAGTGCGAATGATGGAGATGTATTTTCCAAAGGTTGACCGCCAAGTAGCCATATTTGACAGAGGTACAAGTGAAAAACGGTCTTTCCCTTGAGAGCCACTTGGCATAGTGTTAAGTGGCAATACAATGGTCCAAATATGAAGAGTTATGCCTTCTTGAGCTCGTAATTAAATGTCCAATGAAAGTGCATTTATCCCTGGAAATTTAAATTTCTGGGTATAATTGTCGGATTATGGAATGTTATCCCTCGTTAAATTACTGTAATTTTGTTTCCCGTAAAATTGCATAGCACCTTAAAATGTAATTTTTTGCTAAATTAGACGCCAAATTTCGTTCACCCTGATTTTTCACCGTAATAATCAGTATTTTTTCCATAGCAAAGCCAAAAATGGTCAGAATATAAAATATATATTTTTAGGCCATTTTTCACAAAATTAGATGATGTTACCCATTTCGAAAATTGCGAAATTCGGTCCACCCGATTCTCCCTTTAAATCAGTATTTTACCCTTAGCAAAGTCAAAAATAGTCGGAATATAAAATGAATTGCCTCAATTACCAATAAAACTGCATTCACATTTTTGAATGTAAATTTTTGGCTCTGTTTTACAAAATTAGATAATGGTACCCGTTTTTAAAAACTTGAATTTTATCCCATCCTCATTTTCATCCTATAATTCCGTATTTTTGCCATAGCAAAGCCAAAAATTGTCCGAATGAAGAATGTTATACCTCGTTGAATGTGTAAATCGATTCACAATAAAACTACATTCAAAGCTTAAAAGTCAATTTTAGGCTATTTCTTGCAAAATTGCTCAAAATTAAGAAATTTGAACAACCTTGATTTTTTGCCAATATACTCAGAACAAAACAAAAATTGTTCGAAGTATCACAATAAGTTTTATAATAAGTTAATGGATTGACTAACGGTACTTTAAGACTTTTATTTTTAAAGACTAATTTAATTTGAATTTTACAGGCTCATAGAAAAGACTCAGGCTATTCTGAGACCCTTCCTTTTCCTTACTTCCAGCTGTCAAGTAGCAACTGCCACTTCAGCGTAAATCATTATAATAATTTAACTAGAGGACCCTTGCGGAATAAAGTCAACGGTGAAAGTTTTTCACAAGCCAGACACGCCGGGTAAATGG